TCGGAACAGGCGTCTATTTTTCTTGCCCCTGCCGCCTTGCACATGCGGATCCCGGCTAGTAAAGCTTCATATTCTGCCTCATTGTTTGAAGCCTGAAAACTGAAGCGTAGAGCATACTCGTACATGTCGCCCTCTGGCGACTGACATATGACGCCTGCTCCACAACCATTTGAAGTAGAGCTTCCGTCCACATATACCTTCCATACTTGGTCTGGAACTTGAGAGTTAGGAGGACGAGTCATCTCTACAATAAAGTCAGCAAAGGCTTGCCCCTTCACTGCTTTTCTAGGCTCGAAAGTAACTTCGAGGCTCTGTATTTCTATGGCCCATTTGATCATTCGGCCTGACGACTCCATGATGGTCAGTGGCCGCTTGATAGGTTGGTCTGTATACACGACGACTGCATGTGCCAAAAAGTAGGGCTTCAATTTTTTAACAGCCATGAAGAGTGCAAGACCAAATTTCTCCACTAGGGGATTCTCAACTCGGCATTTTTCAGTACGTGACTGACAAAGTAGACCGGGAGCTGACAGTCGTCCCTTTTAGCAAGGAGAACAGCGCTTAACGCATGATCAGAGACGACCAGGTACATGTAGAGAACCTCTTTGGGCAAAGGGCTGACCAGCCTCGGCAAGGAATGCAAGTGAACTTTTAATTTCTGGAAGGCGGCCTCAGCATCCGGCCCCCATTCAAACCTTGCCTTTTTCTTAATTGCCTGGAAAAAGTATAGGCATTTGTCGCCTGATCGGCTTAGAAATCTTCCCAAGGCCGCCAGACAACCTGTTAACTTCTGAACCTCTCGGATGGTACGAGGCGACTGCATGTCAATGACCGCCTGCACCTTCTCAGGGTTCGCCTCTATTCCTCTCTGATTGATAAGGAATCCGAGAAATTTCCCAGACTCAACTCCAAATACACATTTCTTGGGATTGAGCATGACATGGTGCCGCCTGAGTGTGGCGAAAGTTTCTCGGAGGTCCGACAGATGATCTTTCTGAAGTTTAGTCTTGACAATCATATCATCAATGTATGCCTCGACGTTTCTCCCAATCTGATCAAAGAACACAGTGTTTATCATTCGTTGGAAGGTAGCCGGGGCATTCTTAAGACCAAACGGCATGACCGTGTAACAGTATAACCCCTGATCAGTGACGAAGGCCGTCTTCTCCTGATCTTTCTTCCATAAAGGAATTAGATGGAAACCAGAATAGGCGTCCATAAAACTCATCAAGGCATGGCCGGCTGTTGAGTCGACCAGGTTATCAATTTTAGGCAGAGGGTAACTGTCTTTGGGGCACGCCTTGTTTAAGTCTGTGTAGTCTACACACATTCGCCAGGTGCCATTCGGCTTTTTAACAAGCACCACATTTGCAACCCAGTCTGGGAAGTAACATTGCCGAATGAACCCTGCATCAAGTAATTTTTTAACTTCGGCGGCCGCCGCCTGACTTCTTTCCTCGCCATGGTTCCGCTTCTTTTGCCGTACCGGCTTCTTTTTCGGATCCACGACGAGTTTATGTACCGCCAGATCAGGACTAATGCCTGGCATTTCATGGACTTCGAATGCAAAGATGTCCTTGTATTCTTTCAATAGGTTGTGAAAGTTGTCACCAAGGTTTCTCAGAGCAGTCGTCCCAACTTTGACTGTTCGGTCAGGATGTGAGTCGTCTAAGATCAGGTCCGCATGCTCACCAGCCGGCTGAGGGAGGAACTCATCCGACCGCTCCTCTGCCAATGATTGCTATTTTCTTTCTTTTCTTGCGGCCCCTGTCTGGGATGCCTTTCTCTTTTTGCCGCCTGCTTCTTGAACAGGCGCACTCTCCTTGACATTGTCAAGGTCTGTTTTTTCACCGCTTGACCCAGTGGCCATAACAGTGGGCTTGACATCCGAGAGATAGCACTCTCGGGCCATCCTCTGATCTCCCCTTAGGGAGCCGACTGTTCCATTATCCCTCTCAAACTTGAGCAACATAAGAGATGGGATTATAACAGCCTTGGAATTATTCAGGGTAGGTCGACCCAGAATCATGTTGTAGGCCAAGAGTTCCTCTACTACCAGGAACCGGACTACCATGTGTCGTCCTTCCCCTTTTTCGCCCAGGCGGATGGGTAAATCTATTCGTCCCAGTGGGTGGACGACTCCTCCTCCAAACCCTACTAAAGGGTGGGAGGCCGGATGTATGCAATCAGTCTGATATTTTAGTTTCGACAGACATTTGCTACTGATGAGATCTGAGGAGCTTCCGGTATCTATGAGGATTCGGCCAACTCTCTGGTTGGCCACTTTACATTCAATAACGAGAGGGTCGTCATGCGGCCCCCTTACCCCTCCTAGATCTTCTTCAGTGATGACAATCTCAGGAAATGAATATTTGGACGACCGTTCTTGGTGAACGGAATTTATATCTAACCGCCTGATATTGTCTTTGTTGCCCCTAATAGTGGGGCCGCCTCCTGAGAAGCCGCCTGCAATGGTGTAGACGACTGCATCATCTGTATCAGAGCTATCGGCCTGCTGATTCTTTTTGGCCGACTGCTTTTTTGAGGAAGTGTTCCCCGTAGATTTCTTGACATAAGTGTCAAGATCACCTTGCTCAGCCAGGCGGTCTAGGTACCGCATGAGACTGATGCAGTCATTGGTGTGATGACCAACATCATCATGATAAGCACAGAATTTATCTTGGTTCCGGTTGTTTGCAGAACCCTTCATGGGGACCGGCTTCTCAATTGAGATTCGTCCCTTGATTTCTTTTAGGATAAACTGGTTATCCTTTTTAAACGCATACTTTGGGGAGTATGGTTTTAATTCTTTTTTCTTTTTCTGGGCCGGCTGTTTAGAGGAATCAGCCGCCCAGACCTCTTTTCTTTTCTCATCTTTGTTTGACGACTGTTTCTGTCGTCCTTCTCTTTTGTCGAACCTTTTCCCGTCCGACTGTTTTATCGTACAAAGATCAGTCGCCTGTATATAGGCTTCTGCTTCAATCAAGGCCTCTTGAAGAGTCGCCACCCTCTTTCGAACCAAATCAAATTTGAAGGTAGACCCGTCTTTGAGACCTCTGAAAAAGTCAGTATAGGCTACCTCATCCGGTAACCCTTGAATCTGTATTCTCATCAGGTTAAACCGCCTGATGTAAGAACGAAGCCCCTCCTTCTCGCCCTGCTGAATTGTTCCCAAATCAAGGGTCGTTTTCTTCGCAGGGATGTTGGAGGCAAATAAGTAAGCAAGCGTCCTGAAGCTATTTACACAACCAGTCGGCAGGTTGCCGAACCATTGCTGTGCGATTCCTTTGAGAGTCGCTGGGAAACACTTGCACCAAGTGGGATCATCCAACCCTTGAAGGTACATCAGGTTGGTGAATGCCATCAGATGGTCTTCTGGGTTAGTAGTGCCGTCATAGGCGCCTACTAGTACATTTTTCACTTTGGCCGGCTGAGCGGCTTCAGTAATTTCCTTGGAGAAGGCCGACGGCTGTTCACCAAGTCTAAGCAACCGTAGCTGCCAGTCCATAGGTTGGACGTTTTTTGCTGCAGGTCCACCAAACGGAGATGGCTGCAAAAAATACTGTTGTTGCGGCACAAATGGTAAGTTTGGTACCGCCTGGTCGCTATGAAAGCCGGACTGACGGGAGGTGCCGCCTGACTGACTCTCATGATACGACTGAGTATGCCTCATCGAGGCATTTCGCAAACTGTCTTGAAAGTTTGAAGTAGAGGCCGACTCTGATAATCGGTCACTCCTCTTCTACTCTAGCAGTAGCCGAGCATCTGTGAATGTTTGCTTCGACCCGTCCGCCTGAATATGACGAACAGGTTTCCTATTTCCTGTAGGATAACGGAATTTTGTGAAATCAAGGGCAGGTGGCTCCCGCTTCCTAGATTTAGGATGAGGAGTCGCCTCTCGCCCTTGAACTGGCTTCCTCTTCAGTGACGTGGAGGGTTTCTTGGCCGACTGCTCCTTGACTGGAGCAGGCGGCTTCTTGTTGATCAACTCTTGAATCTCTCCCTTGAAGTCCCTCATGAAGGTCATGAGTTCGTTCCTTGTGATGGGAGCAGACCCATCAGTCGGCTGTTGCCGAACAGGCGGTGCGCCTGCTGGCTCGCTTCCTGTTTGAAGATGCTCCCGTTCCCTCCTTTCGGTATGACGGGTACGTCAGGCCCTTAGGGTCCCGTCTGAAGCTGTATGAGCTTCAACTTCAAATTCACTTTCGGTATCATGGTCCGACTGAACTTGAGGGTCGTCTAGGGGACGCCTCTCTTCAGGAGTCGGTACAGACTTGGATGCCATCTCAGAAGTACTCTCCCCACAGACGGCGCCAAATGTTTCGGGGTTTTCTGATGTCCTGCGGGAGAGTTACAATTCCGAGACTGGAACCGGACGCCTGTACCTGCAAAATAACGGAGACTCCTGTGAGCTCCGCCTCCAACGGTCAAGTTAGTACCTGATTAAGGAGTAATTAATGCGGAAATTAAAGTGATTTGGTCTCTCTAGGTGAGAGTGTTTAATGTAGGTAATCTGCTTTGTTAGCGAGATCAGCCGATTATTACTGTGTGTAATTAATGTGTTTTTCCGTAATGTTTCTGTGTTCTCTTTTTGTAATCCCCCTTAATGAGGATTAAGGGAGGTATTTATAACCTTGGGAAACGTGCCCATCCTAGGTTTAGGTTAACCTAGGGCCGATTGGGCTTCCCTCGGAAGTTGGGCCTGGGTGGCCGGTTTCTCCATTAGGCATGGAGTATGCCACATGTCGTGACATAACAGGTCCAAGGTGGACAAATAAGCGCGTGCCACGTGGCAAGCCCTGACAGTTCCAACTAGGGGACACTTGGCAGGTCCTGATTGGCTCACGTGGCGCATTCCGATTGGTGGGAGCAAAATCCCCTAATCAGTTAGCTATTTGCAGTAATTGGTTTTGACTACCTGATTGTTATTATGTATAAAAAATATTTGGTAAAAAATGTTAGTTATTATTGTTTTAGTGTATAAAACAACAATACAATTATAAGTTCTTTCAAACAGCTTTTTACCAAAATGGTCAAATATCTCGTTTTGTTTCACAAAGCTCCTAACCAAACGCTCATAACCAAACGCTCCAATAACCAAATTATAGTAGTTAAGATACATTCTAATTCAATCCAAACAAGAATCAATCATTCGACCGAAAATAACCCAACTTGAACCAAACTTAGACCCATATAGGCGATATAGCTCAACCGAGGTGCACATAAACGAGGAGGAGAATGGGAATATTTAAACCCTTATAAAAGGCCGTCTATGAACCAAGTTGAGCGCAATACGTGCAACCTCTCCTGTGATCGATCAAATCTGTTTTTTTTTTCCTCAGAGAATAAAGAAAATTCCCCTGAACCAACTTATTAGACACTTGTACAAATCAAACACAAACATTATAACACCCAAATCAATAAATCATCGTACAAAATAAATATTATCCTTTTTATTCGCTTTCTTTATTTGACCTTTGCTGCTGACAGCTGACTACTACCCCTTTCACTCACAAAAACAGGGCAAAATACAACCAATTCTTCCATTCTTCCCCAAAAAAAAAAAAATATCTTTCCCAAAAAAAACCAAATAAATTCTTTCTTGGAATTTTATTTTGTTGTTTTTCTCTTCTTTTTGCATGGTTGAATACTGAAGAAATGAAGATAAATACAATAAACCCATCATCATCATCATCATTATCATATGATAAAATTCATAATGCAAGAAATCATAGGAATTTCATAAAAAGTTACAAAAATGTAATCGGAGTTCCCCCAATTTTGTTATGGTTTCTTGTTTTAACCTCTTTTTTTAGCCTATTTCTTCTTTACTCTCCTAAATCTTTTCATTTCTCCTCTCAACAACATAAACTACAAGAACGACGTCAACAAGAACGTCACTTTCCTCGTGCGCGGAGTAAACAGCAATCTGGTACGTAATCCTTCTTCCGATTCTCGAAATTTAGTTTTTTCGAGACGAGCTACTCATCGGTTCCTTTTTGTTTGTTACACTAGTCGTAGATTCAAATAGAAAATGTGTTCTTCCATTCTTATAAATTTTTTGGTGTAATTTCTTGTTTTATTAATGTGACGTATACCCATTTCCTGATTTTTCTAGCGTTACGCTCAAGATTGTTTATTTCTGTTCATTTTATTTTAGACTTACAGTAACGTTTCATTTCATAAAAATAATTGTTAAATTTTTAAAATCAAGTTTATCACTATAATTTTCACTTGTTTTTTTTTTTTTTTTTTTTGTTAATTCTAGTTTTCATTCTAATTCTTTGTTTTATTATTAGGTGATGATAATTGTGACTTGTTTAAGGGCAAATGGGTACCAGATTTAAATGGATCCAAGTACACAACAACTAGCTGTGTAACAATCCCGGACTCGAAAAATTGCTTCAAAAATGGAAGAATTGACATAGATTTTGTGAATTGGAGATGGAAACCAGATTATTGTGAGCTTCCAAGATTTGATCCTCATAAATTTCTGAAAATTGTTGGAGGAAAAAAATTAGCTTTTGTTGGGGATTCTGTAGCTCGGAATCAAATGGAGTCTCTACTATGCCTTCTATCGCAGGTTAGTTTTGTCTTAAATTATCCGTAATTAATAGTCATACTGATACTTGATAATAGTGTGGTTTAAATTAGTAATGCGCCAATTTTATACGTTAAGTGAGAGTATCTATTTTGGTGATCCCAATGGAATGAAAAGGGTACAAAATTGTGGAAGAGAAATGCAGGCAATTGGAATATATACGTAGCGTGATTGTGGAGTTGATTTAATGCAGATTCCATGTTATGTTTGCAAGCAAATACTTGTATGACATCTTTTGTGGTAGTGAAGTTGTTATTTTGTTCTACCTTTGTATATTTTGAGTGCTTATTATTGAGTAGTTTAGCTATTAATAATAATGAAATGGACTAGCAAAAGATATACGAAGTATATGACATCTAAGTTAAGTTGTGATTGTTGCGTGAGGATATCTCTAGTTGATAAAAAGTCAAGATATAAAATAGAGAAGTGATTAGAGAGAAAAAGAATAGTTCTTTCAAAATCCTCTTTAATTTCTAATTTTCTAATCATAGCAAAAGTACAATATAATTGGATTAGATTTTCTAGAAAATTGAGGGGGAGCAAACAAGGTTCTATTTTGTCAAAAACTTTAGTAATCTCTTTTTTCCCCTTCTCTAACATAGTCCGATCCTTTCACCTTTAAAAAGTACTGTTGAAATTGAATGGTTCGAATGTTTGCAAGCTTACAAGGAAAGGAATAGTCTATCACGTCTAGGTTACTTTGTTATTGTTAACATTAATTTTAAATTACTAAAGAAAAGAAAAACTAGTTTCCAAATATAAATTCTTTAGACCTTGGGAGCCTATCACTTCATAATATACTTTGTAAATGAAAAATGTTTAGCAATAAATTTAATCTAGAAAGGTTTTTTCCTAGAGCTTGGGGTTTTAGAAAATTTTGGGTTTCATTAATAATTATATTATTTTATGCCAAAGTCGCACATAGTAGGTGTTTTAGCTCAAGAACATACAAAAAAGTCAACATACAATTTTCAATAAGCTTCATTAGAAAAACTGAAGCATGCTGAAACATAATTTATATATATATAAAAAAAAAAATAAAAAAAATAAAAAAAAAAAGCTAGTCAATTTCACACCAAAATAAACTCATAAGTCATAGCATTAATGAATATAATCTAGAACAAACAACCACTTTTAAAGTGAAATTGAGCATTTTAATCAAACAGAAAACAAAAAATGAAGTTGAACTTGATTTGAGGATGATTAAGCCTAAAGTTAAAGACAATATCATAATTACTGGCAGAATGAAGAAATACTTCAAGTAATTGGCTTGTGCTGTCACGCGTGATAAGAATGTCAAATTTGCTGTCTAATAGCCGTATTACATAGAAAATCAACTCCTTAGATTATTAGTTTTCTACTTCTTTCTGATCAATTATCAAATGAAAATTTTATGTTTATGTACAATTTTCTTGTTCATGAGGTTTGTACTACTTGGTTTTGAGAATACAGGGAGTGTACACTACTCGTCATAATGTAATAGTCACGTATAATATTTTTGAATACGAAATAGATGTCACGTTTCTTTGAATAAATTGTGTTATACTCCGTTTTACATTTCCAAAACCACCCCAATACGGAGTAAATGGAGTTGTGGGTGTGAGAGAGGGAAGAGGATAGATAGAAGACAATATTCCCTCTGTCTCTTTTATTTTAATCTTTACCTTTGAATTATTTTTGTGAGTGAAAAGCGGTCAAAACTTTAAGATTACCAAAAGATGAAAGAGAGTATTACTAAAGTATTGTTGGATTCTTCATTATAAAGAGTTATTGAATATAACAAAGCTAGAAAAAGTTGTAGAAGAGGTTGTTAGGAAGTTGATTTGTCTAGTAAAATATTTGAATATAACTTGAGTATTGTTTAGAACTACTTCCTTTGCTTTTGTACAATGTTGCTTAATTGTTTTTCGTTATGAACACAAAGTTATTGCTGAACCGAAATTTGTTGAAAGTGCATGTATATTTTCCCTTTTAATTGTAAGAATTGATTCAAGTCTTCAACTCTCAGCAAAATCACATGTCCTGTGATTTTAATACTTTTGTTTGTTATACATAACATTTAAGTTGTGACCTAAAATTATCGATGACATTTTTTTAGGCCGTCTCAAAAATAATCTATTACTTTTTAAATATAATTTAATTAAACAATTTGATTCTATTCCTTATATCAACTTTCATATAAAAGAATATTGAGGAGGATATGGAATTTTTTATAATACGAAGTCATGAAATATACTTAAGGTACATTTGAATTCGAAAATACTATCCCAAATTAAAAGCGACTTATTATTTAGATCAAATTAGTAAGGTATAGCATAGCCTTTCGAAGTTTCATGATTTAACAAATTATTTTAATCATCAGTATTTAATTTTTTTTTTCAAATTGGATATTATGCTGTAAATATTGGAGCTTAAATTAACACCAACTCAAGTATCTTGAATCAGAAAGTGTAACTCAATGTACCATTAGTGCATTTGTGCTTCTATGTTGACAAAATCCTGTATTAACTTGCATGATTAGTCCATTAGTTAACTTCTTTGATGATGGAAACATGCCGTGCACAATCTAACTGTTGATGTGATTGCGTTATTGCAGGCAGAGACTCCAATGGATGTATATAAAGACTCTGAGGACCGGTTCCGAACATGGCATTTTCCTTCATCCAACTTCACTCTCCTGATGTTTTGGTCCAAATTTCTTGTGAAGTCAGAGGAAAGAATGGTGAATAATTCTGGCACTGGCAGTTTTGACCTTCATCTCGACGAGGTTGATCAGAAATGGGCCTCAAGACTCCCTGGATTAAACTATGTTATCATCTCTAGTGCTCACTGGTTCTTCAGGAAAAACTACTTATATGACCAGGGCAAATTAATCGGGTGTGTTTACTGCAACGATCCAAACGTTCAGGAATTAGGCCTCAATTACTCCTTGAGAATGTCATTTCGAGCAGCATTAAAGTACATCAACAACTGCAAAGGATGCAAGAAGGATATGGTGACCTTAATAAGGACATTCTCACCAGCACATTTTGAGAATGGTGCTTGGGACACTGGAGGTAGTTGTAATCGGACTAACCCTCATAGCGAAGAGAAGGGTAAGGAGATGAAAAAGAGCTTCGAGTTAGAGCTAAGAAAGATACAAATGGAAGAACTCGAAAGGGCAAGTAAAGAGGATCAGGGACGAGGGCAGAGGAAGTTAAGGGCTTTGGATATAACTTGGGCAATGTTAATGCGGCCTGATGGTCACCCTAGTGAGTTCTGGGGTAACAAATGGATGAAGGGGTATAATGACTGTGTACATTGGTGCATGCCCGGTCCTATTGATGCGTGGAACGATTTCTTGTTGACTATGTTGCAGAAAGAGGTTGGATTATCCTCGTGATTATAGAAAATTACAGGCACATACAGAGAAAGGATATAGTCTACATCTGATAATAATACACTTGCTTTTGCCATGAAATTGATTAGTAAACACACAAGTTCGAGTCATTCAACATTCTTTGTATCCCTTATTCGAGGGAAGATGTCAATATTTGGGTTATTTGGTTCGAGGAAGTACAACTTCTGGTGCTGGTTACAGAAATTACAGGATAGTAAGCTTTTTGATTTGCTTTGGATGTATTTTGCTGCCTTTGACAGTGAGTTAATATACAAGGGATCTTACTAGACTATTATATCAATCAATCAATCAAAGTCTTAATCCCATAAATGGGGATCTTACAAGACTGTTATCTGGTAGAAAAAGAATCCTGCAGGAAATTCTGTGTTGCCTGTTTGAATCGCGTTGATACAGAAACTAGTATGGACTGCAATAGAGAAATAAATGGTAGTTTGTGATTGTATGTATGTAAACTTGAACATATAGAGAATACATCTGCTAAAGATCTATAGTCAATGACTCAATGAGAGGATTTCTACTGGGATTGAATTTACAGGTCAATATAATATATACTTTCATCAATTTCATTAAAATTAATGTCCTCTTGTTATACTTTATGACTGACAAAAAAATTAGGGAGTTGAAGATAAAAGACAATCTAATATCATATCATATCATATATCACTAATATATAAAGCCGGTCTCGCAGCCAGGCCACGAGACATCGACACTTGGCATTTTAGTTTTTCGCCAAGTGTTGCGCCACGTAGGCGACAAATAGAAATTATTGTGATTAGATTAGATGCCACATTAGATGAGATTGGATAGATTTTGTAAGATAAAAATATTGTATAGAGTTTTATTATCGATATACTTCTAATATTTCATTTATACAAAATTACCTTTAAATAATATCCTATAAGTCGATTTTATTTCCATCATAAAATGTGTGGTAAATATTCTTTAAAATAAGATCAACTTATAATATATGTTTGGGGTAAAAATTACCCTCGCCACATGGCCCAATGAGGGACTGACACGTGACAACCTCGTAGAGGCCCAAGGGGATCCAATTATAGGATGCCACATGGCCTTGTAACCCTAATGGGGGAGCAGATATTCATCTGCTATAAATAGAGGAAAATCCTCATTTATTAGACATCCATAAATGCAAACACAAAAAAATCGAGCAATATTAATTGCGGAATCTCTCTGAATCAGGGAGAAATATTTACCATTTCCGTGCAGTTTACTACTTCGGACGTATACTAATTTGATCGTCGGAAGCGGAACTCCACCCCACCGGAGTTTCGTGGTTTTGCAGGTACAGACAGTCGGGCGCGCATACTCAGGATTGTAACTCTCCCGAGGGACTTCAAAGACACCCGAAACATTTGTCGCCGTCTGTGGAGAGAGTACTTCTGAGATGGCATCTGACACTGTACCGCCTATAGAAGGCAGCCGGCCTACGCCTGAACCTGAGGTCCATACGGATCATGACAGTAGTGAAGACTATGAGGTCGACACCTATGTGGCCCCAGACGGTTCATTTCGAACAAGGCGCACCCGTTCCAAAGAAAAGAAGGAACGGGGCCAAGACAAAGCTGGTCCCAGCAACCCAGGAGGCAAGCACGCTGGGCAACCCCAGCCGGCGGAGGGCACAACCCATGTCACCAGAGTCGAACTCATGAAATTCATGACGAGTTTCAAGGGGGAAATAAAGGACATAATCAAGAAGTCAACTGGCTCAAACAAGGGTCAGTCGGCAAAGAAGCCTTCTCCCTCCGGGAAGAAGCAAATCAAAGACCGGGTGCCTACTCCTCACCCCAAACCCAAGGGGACGGATGGGTCCCTGATCGACCTCTCAAAACTTCGTTTCCCAGAATCAGGGCAACGGAAGGCCATCCGGCAAGTTCAGCCGGATGGGTCAAAAAAGACTTTCTTTGATGCCCGGATGTTCATCCAGGAGAAGAGAAGTCAGCAAATGTCTGGGTCGGCTTCAACGTCGACTTACCCAGACAGTTTCCGCAATACTTCAATGAAGCATTCGGAGACGCATCAAGAGAGTTAATCGCGCGGCATGTCCGCACGTACTGGCCCTCATATCATCCAGTCGGTTCCGTATGTGCCCCAACAGCCATACCTGCCGTATGGATCACCATACATGCAGCCGTTGCCCTTTGGAGGTCAGGCGGCACATCAGGTCAGCCTATGGACTGGCAGCTCCGGCTACTTAAACCTAGGGGAACAGCCTTCAGCTTTCTCCCGGGAGATAACCGAGGCCGCACAGCCGGCCAAGGTTAAAAATGTGTTGGTTGGTACCTATGATGGTACCACCAACCCTGAAGACCACCTAATGGAATACACCAACCTTATGTACCTACAGGGGTTGGATGATGCCGCCTGGTGCCGATGCTTCCCAGCTACATTGAAGGGCATAGCCCAACGATGGTTTGGCAACCTGCCAGCTGGGTGCATCAACAACTTCAAGACGCTTGCATACCTGTTCGCATCGAACTTCTCCATGAACATCCCTGTCAAAAAGACAAGTCTCGACCTAGGGGCTATTCAGTAGGGGGACAAGGAGGGACTACGATCCAATGTCAAGCGGTTCAATATGATGAGAATTCAGATTCAGGGGCTGTCTGACGAAGATGCATACACATACTTCTTCAAGGGTCTGAAGGACGGGTCGACTTTCAAATTCAACCTAGTCCGCAAGAGGGTTACCACCCTCCAAGAGGCGTTGATGGAAGCCGAAGCCTACATACAGGCGACGGAACTCTGTGCCATCAAACACTCGTCGAGAACCCAAGAGGTCCGACAAAAAATAGAGCCGGCCTTCCCAGCCGGCCAAAAAAAAAGAGGGAAAGAAGAGAAGAGAAGTTTGGGCGGCAGATCGCTCTGGTCAGCCGTCCTAGAAGAAACAGAGAAAGTTGGAACCGTACGTCCCCAAGTACGAATTCAACAAGGACTGCTCCTCCATCCTCATGAAGATCAAAGACCGGTTAACCATTGAAAAACCGGCTGCTATGAAGAATTCTATCAAGAACCATGACGAGAGCAAATATTGTCACTTCCATGAGGACGTTGGCCATGACACCAATGGTTGTTATAGCCTCAGGCGGCTATTGGACCGTCTGGCTGATGAGTGGGCTCTGAAGTCCTACTTGGTGAAGTCCAAGGGTAACCCCAAATCTAACAATGGACAGCCGTCAAAGAAGCCAGCTATGAGTTCTGACACTGATGAAGAGCACATCTTCACCATAGCAGGCGACTTCGCAAGCGGAGGTCCTACCATCCGGGGTACCAAGGATAACATCCGAAAACTATCCAACCCAGAGGATGAGGGTCAAGCGTCGAAAGACACCTTTCCTAAGGTCTTCATCTCTGCGAAGTATCTGCGTATGGTTAGGCGGCCCCATGATGACCCAATTGTCATCGAATGCAAGGTTGCCAACCAACGAGTGGGCCGAATCCTCATCGATACCGAGAGATCATCTGACCTGATCAGCTATCAGTGCTTGGCAAAGCTCAAGTATAAGCCTAGCAGTATGCACAAGGCCTCTCACCCCCTAGTTGGCTTTGGGGGAAGAGTAGTGCATCTAGTGGGGAGGATTGACCTACCCATCCGGCTAGGAGAGAAGGGGGAAGGACGGCACATGGTTGTCAAGTTTTTGGTAGTCGAGGAATTGACCGCCTACAATCTGATTTGGGGCCGTCCAACCCTCAACGAGTCCAAAGCAGTCATCATCCCATCCCTCATGCTGATCAAATTTGATATGGATGACGGGTCAGTGGGCGCCCTGAACGGGGATCAGAAGACGGCTAGGGAGTGCTACCTCTCAGACGTCAAGCCGACTGCTATTGCAGCCGGCCATAACGAGGAGCCCATCGAACTTGATGACAAGGAAGCCGCGCCTGCTCCCAGAGAAGCCGGTAAAAAGAGAAAGGCGGACCAACTGGCACCCGTCAAAAAAGAAAAACAATAGCAATCACTGACCGATGAACGGTCGGATGACTTCCGACCCCAGCCGGCTGGTGAGAGCATTGATGTCGTCTTAGACGACAGCCGCCCCGACAGAACCGTCAAAGTTGGGACGGTTGCTTTTGAAAAGTTGGGAGCAGACTTGCTCCAACTGCTAAAAGAGTTCAAAGACATTTTTGCCTTTGAAGTGGAAGAGATGCCAGTCGTCAGCCCGGATCTAACTGTCCACAAACTCGCCGTAGATCCCAAAAAGAAGCCGGTTAGGCAAAAGAAGAGGGATCATGGCGAGGAAAGATCTCAGGCGGCAGCCGCCGAGGTCAAAAAATTGTTAGATGCTGGGTTCATTCGGCAATGCCGCTACCCGGATTGGGTAGCAAACGTTGTCCTTGTCAAGAAGCCGAATGGTACCTCACGGATGTGTGTAGACTACACAAATCTGAACAAGGCATGTCCGAAGGATAGCTACCCGCTCCCAAAGATCGACAGCCTAGTCGACTCTACAGCCGGTCATGCCTTGATCAGTTTTATGGACGCCTACTCAGGCTTTCATCAGATACCCTTATGGAAAAATGATCAAGAGAAGACGGCCTTCGTCACTGATCAGGGGTTGTATTGTTACACGGTGATGTCGTTTGGGTTGAAGAATGCGCCTGCTACCTTCCTACAAATGATGAACACAGTTTTCATCAATCAAATCGGAAGGAATGTAGAGGCGTATATTGATGACATGATAGTCAAATCCAAGCTGCAAACGGATCATGCTTAACCCCAAGAAGTGTGTCTTTGGTGTTGATTCTGGGAAGTTTCTCGGATTTCTGATTGATTAAAGAGGCATAGAGGCTAATCCGGAAAAATTACAAGCGGTTATTGACATGCAATCACCCCGCACTGTCAAAGAAGCCCAGAAACTCACCGTTTGCCTGGCGGCATTAGGAATATTCCTCAGCTGTGCAGGCAACAAGTGCCTCTATTTCTTCCAAGCAATCAGGAAGAGGTCAAGATTTGAGTGGGGAGAAGAGGTTAAGGCGGCATTTCAGAGGCTAAGCAACACTTGCACTCTTTCCCAAGGCTTATGAGCCCCCTGCCCCATGAGGTTCTCTACATGTATCTAGCCATCTCAGATCACTCCCTTAGTGTTGATCTCCTTGCTGAGAGAGACGGCAAACAGCTCCCGGTGTATTTCTTCAGTCATGTTCTCAGAAATGCTGAGCTCCGGTACCTAATGATTGAAAAATTTGGGCTGGCCCTCTATAAAGCAGTCAAGCGGTTGAAGCCCTACTTTTTGGCTCATCCGGTTATTGTTTATACTGATCAGCCACTCAAACGTCCAATGACTACTATAGAGTCATCCGGCAGAATGATCAAGTGGACTGCTGAAATACAAAGCCTGGAGATAACTTTCAAACCTAGGCGAGCAGTGAAAGGTCAGGCATTTGTCGACTTCATTGTTGAAATGACTAGGCCGGCACAGCCGGAAAATACTGATCAAGTTTGGAAGTTATTCGTAGAC